TATCTCTGACAAAACATTAGTATTTCTTAGCAACACTTGCGTAAGCCTTGGGTTGTCAAAAACATTCTAGATGCCCTGCCTCTACCCACGGCTTCCCTTGCCTGATTACTAACCCCAAAGTAAAACCAGCCCAAGCTGGCAATCAACAGGGATGTGGAGGCATTGCTGGCTTCTGCAATCAGTGTTTATGCATAGTATGCTCATCACCTCTCTTCATAAGCTAGTCATTGGGAGGGCTGAAGAGTCACAGCACTACATCCAGGGAACTCAAATGTGCACCCCTCCAATGAGAAGTCCCCCTCATGAGTTGCTGTCCTGGCACAGGCCTCCAGGCCGCAGCACTTGATGATGAAAAGGGCAAAGACCGAAGTCAGCCATGACTTGCTTAGCTAACTTCTCAACTGAGAAGAAATGGTAGAATGAATTAGCTAAGCGTATGGAAGCTAACCTCCGGTTCCCTGGGTTCAAATCCTAGCTCTGCCACTTACTAGCTGTAAAAACTGAATGAGTTCATGTCCCCTAAACTTCCATTTGCTACATTGTAAAATGCAAATTATTATAGTCTCTTTTTGTTATTATGACTATTAAGTAAAATAGTGCCTGTAAAACATTTAACCAAAATGTCTGGCACAATAAATTTAAAATATAACTAATATTTGTTTAGGAACAGTCTCTAGATATAGTGGGAATTGACTCATGGAGATTTTCAGCATTTTTGTCACTAATGATGAGATTTTGTTAAAAGAAGTGATCGTGAATACTCATGCTGTTGACTAGCTAGCTTTTTCTGAAATAACTGTTTATGAAATTTAAAAAGTAATGCTGACAAATTCCTACATTTTTCTTACACACAAATAGAAAGAAGACATAAAGTTGGAAAATGACATGTTGTTTTCCTTCAACAAATGTACCTGAACTTATACATCAAAAAAGTTTTCATCTTCAAAGGGATCACATCAGGAAGCCATGTACTTATTTCAATAGTGCTGCCAAATATTTTTGGAACCCTTCCCTCTAAATTACTGTCTAAGCCTGCTTCCAATTCTTTTAGATGTCTTTTTTGGCAAGAATATTTTATCTATTGAGTTTTCAATTTTGAAAGCAAATTTAAAACCAACTCTTATGAATCAGATGGAGGATAATGTCACCTCTGATCAAAAAGAAGGAAATGAGGATCTTTTAGGCTCAGCTTGTCACATGTCTCAAGCAAGTCCAGACTGGGAATCTCTAAAACTTTGCAGATCAGTGGAAGCACTGTCAGTATTAACAAGTTGTTTTCTGTGTGATTACCGAGCTAAGGGGTTATTTACTTAATTTTATTATACACTATATGTCAGGCACTGTTCTAGGAACTTCTCCATGTACGAGTTCATGTGATGTTCTTATCTGATGATTAGGTACACCTAGTAGTCCCATCTTACAGATGAGACAATTGAGGCACTGTGAACTTGGGATTTTGTGCAGACACAGAGCTAGTAATGGAGGAACCAGAAATCAAATAGAGACTGTGTACTGTCAATTTCTAGAGACAACCTCTGTGTACTAATAGGTACGCTTCCTGGGTGTTTGCTGGTTCGCTTGTTTTTCAGTTAATGTAATGAAACTTGCTGAAAGCTACAACATAGCCCCATGTTGCTTTCTTTTTTTAACCTCAGGTCAAAGCCCTTTTGAGGTTAAGAAGCATGACCTGAACTCTTTTGTCCTATCTTCCTGTAGCCAGTTACACAAGGAAGAAACAACTCACTTTCCAACCTCCTAGTTTTGCAGCCATCTGTAAACTATCCCTGTTGTTCATATAAGCAGGGCTTTGCCTTTTACCCAGCAGCTTCTTCAACATGGTGCCAGGAGCAGTTTCTCTTCTCACAATGTTTCCTCATACCTGCTTCGAAATGCCCTCCTGAAAATGCACATTTTCCATTGCGTCACCCAGAAGCACAATCTTACTAGACCAATGGGGAAGAATGAAAAGAAGAGTAGGGAAGCAAAGACATTAAAATGTTTGCGTTCCCTTTCAGGCAAGAAAGCTTTCCATATCGTCTCCTGTAAGCAAACTGCTTTGAACGTCTCCTTTGCCTTCCTCTGCTTTGAAATAGGAATTTCCAAAGCAGTTTCACTCCAACGCCAAGAGCATATTCTTGCTAGCCGTTCAGATAACAACCCTATCCCCCAAGGAAATATATTTAAAAGTAAATTTGAAACTTTTTTTTATTTCAGGATAAAAGAAAAATACAAGAAGAAATCTCACAGAAGCGTCTAAAAATAGAAGAAGAAAAACTAAAACACCAGCATTTGAAGGTAACTTATGACTTTAATTTCATTTCAATGATTTTGGATCGAAATATTTCAATGCACTCAAATTTCAGTAGTGAAGATGCTTTAGAAAGACAAAAAATTCCAACATGGTTTCACTAACATTCTAATAACCACAGGGGAGGCCAGTAAGCCAGTGATATTTGCATATAAGATTAATACCTTCTGGCAAACATGTGGAAAGTTGAAAATATGATTTTATTACTTTCTCCTTTATTGCTGATTTCCTAATTTTCTTAGGTAACCTTGAGAATTCAGCCTTGAGAATTTGGCCCTGAATGCAGTCTTACTAAATATCCTTAGGGAGTAGATCCAGCTAGGAAGTTCCTTTTGAAATCAATGAAAGGCTGGCCATTCCCTAGAGGGTGCAGAACAGACAGTGTCTAGTGTCTGGTGTGGTCAAGGATGCTTGTATTCAAAAACTCAATGCAATGAATCCAAAGTTGTTTCAGTGTGGCTCGGGTTTCTGTTTTATTTTGTTTTGACAGAACATGAGATCATAACCAGAAATAAACTTCCATTTTTAAAATCAGACTTTACATCTTTCTCCGGGTGTGGTCATTTTGTAATTAAAGCACATTGACTTTCAACATTTTATTACGTAGCCTAGTCACAGGATGCAAGCAAATGACAAACAGGAGCGCCTTGTGAACAGGCCCCAGCAGGAAACTAGATTTATCTGGCAGTGAGGGCTGTTATCTACAGATTTAATGAATCCTCTCAATGAAATAATGTTATCCCTCTCTCATGGGGTCTACAAAATTAAAATTAGGCTTGCCAAATTCAGCTGAATCCATTTTTTTAATGGAACAAGTAACCACTTTTGAAAAGAAATGTAATGATTCCAATTAGCCCCAGTTCCCTGGATTCTGTGGGCTTCTTTGCTTGTATTCAGGTTGACATTTCCAATGTTTGATGGATAGTTTCAAACTGTAGTTAACCTGCAATTCTTGCAATATGTCACATTGAATTTACTTGAACAGTAGACATGCACAAGAAACGCAGTGTGTATTCCCAGAAAATAAATGAAATAAAAGCAAATGTACCAAATTTTTCCATCCAATTCAAATGAAATCAGAATAATTTTTGAGATAGATCATTTCTAACTCCAAAACCAGAGTCTGTACATTCTCTCCCTCCTCCCATTCTGTACAAGTACCACACACACACACTTTGCATACAATTTGGATCTCACAGTGAACCACCTCCTGCTTCTGAGTAAACTGGCAGTTCGCTAGTTCTGAGCAATTGCTGTCCTTGAGAATGAGTAGCCAGATAACAGGAGCATTCACAGTAGATGAAGGGGTTGAGATGGCCCCTCAGTCCCCTCTAGGAAGTAAGTTTCACGTAGGAGGAACCTGCTTCTCTGAAAGCTCCATTTTTGGGGATGGCACCTCATTTCTTGCCGAAAACACTCTTGACAGAAATTCAGAGGTCAGCTTTCTGGAATCCAAGAGGTCGCTTCTAATCCAACCCTACCAAAAACACTCTGTTGGTTTGTTTGTTTAAAGATTTTTTTTATTTGAAAGATACAGTTACAGAGAGACAGACAAAAGAGAGAGAGAAAAAGAGAGAGGAATTCCATCCACTTGTTCAGTCCCCAAATGGCCTCAACATCCGGGCTGGGCCAGGCTGAAGCCAGAGCCAAGAGCTTCATCTGGGTCTCCCAAGTGGGTGGCAGGATCCAAAGCACTTGGGTCATCTTCTGCTACTTTCTCAGGCTCATTAGAAGGGAGCTGGATGGGAAGTGAAGCAGCTGGCCCTCATATGGGATACCAGCATTGTACGTAGTGCCTTAAAACTCTGCCACAACACAGGCCCCCCAGAATGCCAGGCAGGAAGGTCTTGGATGGCTGGACACAGGTGTGCAGGCTGTGTACTACACACTTACCTGAAATGGAGTGCTGAAATTCTTCCCACACTGCCTTGCCAACTGTGCAGTCTGGCCCAGAGCTGTTTGTATCTAAAGAAAGTAATTGTCATTTTCTTTGCATAAAATGTTATAGTTTCCCAAGCTGTGCACTGACCCGAATGAGTGTGTGTGGTTGGAGGAAAAGAAAAGGAATAACATATTTTCCTAATTTGGAAAATTCAGTGTTAAAGAATTAAGATGAGTTCAGTGAGAAGGGTATTGTGTTTTGGGTTTTGATTTTGGTTTTCTGGGTTTTTGTTTTGTTTTGTTTTCAGTTAGAATGTAAGTATTAAGATTCTATCAAAGATCTGGGATTTAAGTTGAGTCTTAACTGATAAGTTGATTTTTTAAAAAGATTTGTTATTTATGTATTCAAAAGGCAGGGGTGAGGGAGAGAGAGAGAGAGAAAGAGAAAGAGAGAGAGAGAGAGAGATATCTTCCTTCCACTGTTTCACTCCCCAAATGCCTACAATAGCCAGGACTGGGCCAGGGCAAAGCCAGGACACAGGAACTCCATCTGGGTCTCCCATGTGGGTGGCAGGGACCCAAGTATTTGGGCCATTTTCCACTGTTTTCCCAGGTACATTAGCAGGAAGCTGGATCAGAAGCAGAGCAGCCAGGGCTCCAACCAACACTCTAATATGGGATGTCAGCCTGGCAAGCAGAGGCTTAATCCACTGTGCCACAATACCCATCCCTGATAAGTAGAATTTATATAGGTGTACATAGAGCCGTTCAGTAAATAAACATTTATTTTTTTTAATATTTATTTGTTTATTTGAAAGTCAGAGTTACACAGAGAGAGGAGAGGCAGAGAAAGAGAGAGGTCTTCCATCCACTGGTTCACTCCCCAACTGGCCACAATGGCAGGAGCTGCACTGATCTGAAGCCAGGAGCCAGGAACTTCTTCCGGGTCTCCCACGCAGGTGCAGGGACCCAAGGACTTGGGCCATATTCTACTGCTTTCCCAGGCCATAGCAGAGAGCTGGATGGGAAGTGGAACAGCCGGACTAGAACCAGTGGCCATATGGGATGCCAGCGCTTCAGACCAGGGTGTAGTGCCAGCCCTATATTTATTAAGCTCCTATTATGTACAGGGAACACAAAGAATAAAAATAAATAAAATCGGGTTTGTGCCTTTAAAATGATATTGGACACATAAACACCATGACATTTATCCTGTGCTGAACACTACATGGGAGGCATAAACTGCAAGAGGAACATAGTGGAAAGAGTGGCTGTCTCAACAGAAAACATTCCTCCAAGTTGTGCAGAAAATAGTTGGCCATAGCAAATAGCAACAAGGCATAATTCCAAAATGGAGTTCAAAAATGTGCAGAAGTATTTTAAAAATCAATCCTACAATATGTTCACCAAGTCAGGAGAGCTCTTTTGGCCTCTGCAGTTACCAGCTTGTCTCATTTCCTTCTTAGCCATTTGTCCTGGAACCCATGACGGTTCACACTGCTTTCCCAGTTGCAAATGATTTCATTACACTTCAATGACACACATTAAACAACATAGACACAAACACTAACAAAGTACTCCCCTTGTATTAATGTACACCTGTTTCTAAATAGCTACATGATCTCTCTCTAATATTTATCTCCTGAGCTGATGATCACACCCATGACACACATGCAGGGACGTTATTAACATTCTAATATTCAAGCAATTCCGAGATTTGTTTTTTCTGCCTCATAAAATGGTCACAATCTCATGCCACTGGGGAAAACAAAATAAACTCAATCTGGAAAATTTTATTTTCTGTAAATCCATTCAGTTTAATTATTTTAATTATTTATTAGAGAGGCTCAGAAGCAGAGAGTCAGAAAGACAGACAGGGAGAGCTCCCATCCACTGATTCGCTCCCTCAAACTCTTGCGATGACCAGAGGTGGGCCAGATCAAACTTAGGAACCAGGAGCTCAGTCCAGGTTTCCCATGTGGGTGGCAGAAACTCAACAACTTAGCCATCACCTGCCGTCTCCCAAGGTGTGCACTAGCAGAAAGCTGGAATCAAGAATGGAGCCAGGACTCAACTCACACACTCGGATATGTGATGCAGGGGTCCCAACTGACGTCTTAACCACTAAGTCAAACCCTACCCCCTGCATGTCGCTTACATTTTCATTTAGTTCAAATGCCTTCTGACTCTGAATTTCTTTGTTATGAGATATATTTTATTACATTCATTAGCATCATGTACTAACGCACAAGTCTAAGCTGTGATTCAAAAGCAGAATAACTACAATATGTGGTTGTACCTGATCATTTTGATTACACATCCAAACTGTATTTCTTTTTCTAGTTCAAAGAAACCTCCACCAGGCAGGGGAAAATGACAATTTTTGAAGAATGAAAAAATTTTTATAAGACTAACACTAAAATTATTCTTATCCAGACTAAGGAATGTGGCCCCAAATTAACCTAATCACATCACAGGCATGAATCTCTGCCCCTTCTAACTCCGTATGAGACCATCCCTTGGGAGTGTTTTTATAGAGATATGTATTGACTAGAACTATCCTTATAAAGATCTGTGAAGATTATCACCTATTTCGATAGGTGTTCTGTCTTTTTTACCGTGCACTATTTTCAAATTTAATCAAAAAATTACAATCAATGTAAACTCTTAAAATGCCAATACATGTAGATTTCCTTGAAATCTTTGACCTCAGGAGCTAAATTTTAACCCATGCCAGTAATATTTACCAAGTTGTGGAAAATATTTTTTGCAAACAGTTAATCAACTATAGTAAATGGTTAGGATAATGCTAGGGGAAAGACTCTATGACCACAGAGCAGGATAATACCAAGTGCACTTACTGTGTGTGTTGTGCACATGTGATTGCTTAAGGTTCTGAAAAGGCCAACACAAATATGATGATCTGGGCTGCTATTGTTATTCACTTAATATAGTGCTTTTCATATCATGTCCTGGCCACCTCTCTGCATGAAATAGAGTTGTCCAATTTTTTTTTCCTCAAAACTATAATTCCATTTAATATTTTTGTAACTAATATTAATTTTTGAATGGTTTGAAGGCCAATGTCTTAGTTAAAATAATCAACCCTTGGCAATTACCTAGCACAATCAAGATTAATTAAAATTTTAATGCAAAAATATGTATATCCCATGATATTAATTCTAACTTCCATTTTAAGAAAAGACACAAAATTCTTCTTACTTGCTCCCATTTTAACTTTAAGAGAAACAAGTTCTAGAAAATAAAGTTTCCACTCTCTCATCACCATTTTAGACATAGTGAACCCCCAATGAATAATTATCAGTAACTAGACAAATAATTTATAGAGATAAAGCAGATACAGGATGACAGCCCATTCCTACAGCAGAAAAGGAGAAATTCAAACTCCTAGGGAAGTAAGAATCATACATGTGACAGCTTCTACTTGAAACATATATTTTAGGCCAGCTAAACCCTCTCCAGAATTGACAGGCCTCTTTCAGTTTGGTCTTCCTAGGTTCAGGTCCAGAAGTTTAATTCATTCATGCAAATTCAAGAGGATTTTTTCTTGTATGATGAAACACAAGTCTTCTTTGTATTGTCAAAGTTGACAAAAATTCAAGTCACCAATGTTTAGACAGATTGGTGAATTTTATGCATCCTACTATTGGAACTGTAAGGAAGCTCAAGTTAACACTGCATAGAGCCAGCAAGACTTCCAGAAAAAAGGATGCTGGGTAGGCAACACAATAAATGTCCACCACACAGCAAAAATCTAGTGTAAAATTAGTTTAAGACATGATGCCAATCTTCTGTTTTGCCCACTATTCCAATTATCCCCACAAAATATTTTTCAGAGCAGTCATTATATGCAGTCACTGGAGTGATTATCAAAATGGCTTCAAAGAGCTTTAAACTTCGTTTAAAACACAAGGTATGGAGCAGGTGTTAGTTTAGCAGTAAGGATGCCACTTGGGACATGCATTTCATATCAGAATGCCTGGGCCTGGGTCCTGTTCCCCTTACAATTCCATCAACTTGCTGCTGCACACCATGGGAGGTGGCAGGCGATGGCTCAAATACGTGGATCCCTACCACCTACAGTGGGAAACCTGGAATGAGTTCCTTCAAGGCTTCTGGCTTCAGCCTGACCCAGATTCAGCTATTGCAGGCATTTGGTAAGTAAAACAGCAGATGGAAATCTTTCTATGTCTGTCTCTCTTTGTATCTGCCTCTCAAATAAATGATTATTTACATATTGACATACACATTAATTAAACAACAGTAAAGACATCACATTTTGAGGTCCTTAGATGACTCCTCCAGCTATGCTGGAACATGATTCTAAGGAAAGTTCTCTGAGGGTGAAGATGGGCTGCCAGAGAGGGGCCACAAGGGGGATACAGATAAGGAGCACCTAAACTAGACCTTGAAAAATACACAGGCCGTGGAGACATAAAAACTGGCTTTGGAAGGGAGTAAAATGGGCTACCATGAAAGACAATAACAGATTAATTCAGACAAGGCAGGGAGAGAAAATCATTCCTCTTCAAAGGTTTGGAAGCAATATATTTTGGAAATTGTTGCCTTACACAGAGAAAAATCTTGATGTTTTCTTACTTCAGAAAAAGGCCTTAAGGGAGAAATGGCTTCTCGATGGAATCAGCAGTGGGAAAGAACAAGAAGAGATGAAGAAGCAAAATCAACAAGACCAGCACCAAATCCAGGTTCTAGAACAAAGCATCCACAGGTATGGCCCTCACTGAGACACTCCCCAGCTACCTTTATTTTGTTCTGGTCTCACATTGTAAGTAGAGGAGCATCCTCATTTCCAGGGACACAATGAGATCTTCCATTAGGATTTCCAAAAAAGTCTAGGGAAATACATCAGAAGGCCACACTAGAAATTTTATTGTAAACATCCTTTGAGCATAGCAACACTAGATTTATTTTTAAGTGCATATCAGTGACTTACCCATAAGCCTCTGAGCCTATTTCCCATGATATGGCAGAAACCAAATCTATCTATTAGCATTGTTGAGAATGTTAGAAAACATATGGGCTAACTGCTAGCATCCACAGGTATGTGATAGGTACACACACACACACACACACACACACAAAGGCAGTTCTTCACGGTCCAGCCCACTCCTACCTTAAGACAGGTGACAGTTCTGCACGTGTGTTCACATTGTCCTCCATCACAACTCTACCATACCCTTCCTAGTCACAGCCATAGTACCTGGGAATAGAAGATACCACAGAGATACTCCACCAACATTTCCTCGCTTCCACCACCTGGATTATTTGGTCGGAAGTGTTCACCTCATTTCTCCTTGCCCTTTTCTCCACATCATGCACATTCCTACATATTCAGGAAAACTCTGATGTAACAAATAAAGCTTTTAGGGGCTGGCACTGTGGCATAGAAAGCTGCCGTCTGAGGTGCCAGCATCCCACATGGGCGCCGGTTCAAGTCCTGGCTGCGGCACTTCTGATCCAGCTCTCAGCTATAGCCTGGGAAAGCAATAGAGGATGGACCAAGTCCTTGAGCCCCTGAACCCATATGGGAGGCCTGGAAGAAGCTCCTGGCTCCTGGCTTTGGATCGGTCCAGCTCCAGCCGTTGCGGCCATTTGGGGAGTGAACCAGTGGATGGAAGACCTCTCCCTCTCTCTTTCTGCTTCTGCCTCTGTGAAACACTGCCTTTCAAATAAATAAATAAATCTTTAAAATAAAAAAGGTAAAACTTTTAAATTACCTTGGCTTCAAATGAAGTGATGGCCATATCAAAACTGGAAAGCTCAAATATAAGATGGGGCTATTGATATTATTACCAAAATATAGATTGCATGGAAGAAATAGGAATGGGAAAGGTGAGAAATAGTTTCTAACTATGCACAGATAAAAGATGAAATTTCTTAGAAAGATAGTCATAATAATTTAAAATCTACCTATCTTTGAGATATAGACAATTTTCAAAACTTCATTCATTTTCTCTTTAGTGAGAACTTTTAAAAAGATCTTGAAAATGAAAGTATTCAGTAGCTGTGCTGTGACATTTTGTCCACACTTACCATACTATACAAATAAGGCACATTAGGGCTGAATTTGACAGCATGGAAAAAAAGCTTCCTTACTTCAAATAATTTCCATTTTAGCAGCTTAATTGCATGCCTTTATATATTTAATAGCTAAAATCATAGACAGCTACCCTTTTATAGATTTTTGAAATTAAAGATTCTTAAGAGGTTATGTCAGACCCCTCAGTTGTCTGAACAGCAGGTAACAAACACTTAAAAATAATCCAATAAATCAAGTCCACAGCTTAGAAAATTCAGTTCTTTTGCCCAGCTTAAGCTGTGTTTACTTGCTCATTCCTCAGCCCAGAACCCTTATCTCTGAAGTTCTGACTTAATCCTTGTAATCCTTTCCTCCCCACAACCCCCCCCCCCCCACCGCACAGACACCTCCAGCTACCCCTCTGAACCTCCTTTTAGAGTCTTTCCACACACTAAACACCTACAGCTTTGCCTGCACCTGATCACGGCGGTGGCTACACATACTCAAACTGTTAACAGGTTTAGGCAGCATTCTGGGTAATCCCAAAGTGTTTACTAGGACTCCACTGATTGCTTTTAGAACTTGCCTGAATGCTCTGAGAAGTACAGAAGCTTCTAGTCGTAGCGATAGTGGCTTGGCTTGTTAGAGCTCCTGTGGGACCAAAAATAAACAAGGAGAAGATATTCAGAGGGCCACGTTATGCACCCTGAACTTCACATCCATTGTCTCATTTAATCTTCCCAACCCTGTGAGGTGAGTAGGTCGTTATTATCTTCACTTTTTCCAAAGGAATTAAAACAATCCACCCAACTAGGAAGCGGTGATCAGGGACTGACTCATCTAACTATGCTACCCTGCCTGTAAAGTGACAGAACACAGCAGTTTCTGTGGACTGAAGGGATTACCCCTTCTAGGAAGTCTCTGAAGCATGCCCCTCCCCTTTGTTCTTTCTCCAAACAGCTCCCACCATGCAATACCCTCCCCCATATTCAGCTGTCCTCTTGGTTAAATTACCAATTAGACATCCAATCATTACCAAATTTCTAGCATCCCACTACAGCTCTAGTTTAGATCTTCGGGATGCTACTAAGCCATCCATACTCCGTTATAGAACATCAAATGATTTTAGTTCGTACATCTAAATTAGAATAACACTATGGGTCATTTTTGAAGGTTCTTGTACAATTTACAAGAGAGCACTTGCACTTACATTGTCATTTTTTTTATTTATTTGACAGGTAGAGTTATGGACAGTGAGAGAGAGAGACCGTTGGTTCACTCCCCAGTTGGCCGCTACGGCTGGCTCTGTGCCAATCCAAAGCCAGGAGCCAGGTGCTTCTTCCTGGTATCCCATGCGGGTACAGGGGCTCAAGCACTTGGGCCATCCTCCACTGCCCTCCCGGGCCACAGCAGAGAGCTGGACTAGAACCCAGTGCCCATATGGGATGCCGGCGCCACAGGTGGAGGATTAACCAAGTGAGCCATGGCATCGGCCCCACATTAAGTCATTTAATTCTTACAGCAATACCCAAAAAAAAATGCATTGACTCCTCCATTTCACAAAAAGGATAAGGCACTTACTCAATATCACAGAGCCAAGGAAAGGTAGACAAACACGGATCTCAAAGCAAGCCAGGGTCATTGCTGTTCAGGTGCAAAACAAAAAGAGAGCTATAAATGTAAATGCACCAGAAATAGCAAAACCCCTAACACAGACAATAAATGTCTCCAATGATCAGCAAACCGCTTGGTTTAAAGATTGGTCATTAAAAAGATGTATTTGCAAAGAATTAGTAAAGAATCTACATCCTTGTGGCCCATAGAAGCATGCTTACCTGGCTGGGTAAAAATGTGCAAGGAACAGAATGTTCCAAAGCAACACATGAAGAGGAAAATGTCTGTGCCTTTTCTGTGTTAAGCAGCCTCTGCAGACCCCAGCATTATAGAAATCACATTGCCAAGCAGCTTTACCTGGTAACTGAACATTCTCAGATATTTCTAAAGCTGCTAGATAATCAGGTGCATGTTTTAAAATTCAATCTCTGTTAAACAACTACGCACAGTGCTTAAGAAGCTTTTATTGCCCACTAAATCAGTACAATTTCTTGTTCACACTGAACAGCAGTCACACCAGCTGATGAAGGTGAACAAGGCAGAGCCATCCTTATGCCCTACACAGGGAAAGTAACCAAACCCTGAATGTGATGTGTCGCTTGACTTCGGTGCCTGCTCAAGGGTGACATTTGCCATCCTGCCAAGCCTCTGAGCTAGAGGATAAGATTTGAATGGGAATATCAAAATAGAAATGTTGGCGTTACCTCGGAGTCCACAGCACGGCCAGACTTCGCCCACGAAGTTTTCATTCCTTCTATGTGCATGGGTTTGTGAGACAAAATTAGTTGGGCAGGCCAAATTCCTGTTCTGTTGACCTTAGTACATAAGCCTGGCCATGTTCCTTCACCTCTTTGAGCTTCGGTTTCCTTGCCAGTAACAGTGAGACAATTATAGGCATTTCACAGGACTGCTGGGAATAAAACAACTTCCAGAATGCCCGGCACATGGTAGGTGTTCAAAAATATTAAATGTTGAGCCCCCTGAAAACCTAAAACACTTACATGAAGGACATGGCCTGGACTTTTACCCAGGTACTTCTATATTTTGGTCCAAATCTCTCACTTCTTTATGCTAGTGCGAACACTGTATTTCTTTGAGCAAACTGAGGATATCACCAATTAAGATTCTTTCCCTTTGGAAATAAGTGTTGAATTCTTCTTTGTGGCTTAAAAGCTAAAATGCTAATAATGAGATTTAATTTTTCTAGATCAGTTGCGATGGACCAAGCACTGTGCTAAACACTTCTTAAATATGATTTCACTGAATTCTCATAGCCACCCTTTGTGGTAGGTAACATTTAACAGATACGAAAAATGAAATTTAGAGACTAACTTACCCCAAGTCATACAGTTACAAAGAACAAAGATTCAAAACCTAATTAAAAGTCCTAAGCATAAAAAAATTTCATCTCAGATTCTGCAGAAAAGTTTTACAAAAGTTAAATCCTATATACTCTACCCTCTTACAGCATTTTTAAAATTTCCAATCCATGCTAAGATTTCACTTCTAAATGCATTATTTTCTATAGGTATTCACTTGAATATTTAGCATATTAAAAACACTCAGAAAGTCCCTTGACTCACACATACCTTTAAGGAAGGCATGCTTACTTACTCATCCTCTCGTCTTTTCTTCCAAAGGGAGGAAACATTTTAGAAAATAAGTGGGTTTCTATGGTTTCTGTCCCTGAGTCACATTCATAGCTTTGGAGCAACACTAATGAGTACTTTGCCAGGTGCCCTGACAGTACCTTAGGAGGAAATGTTCCCAGGAGGAAAGCTAATATTGAATGTCTCCTTATGAAGTACTTCATTTAAATAGAGTTTCAGTTTGCCTCCTAAATGAAACACACTCTTCTCTGTTGTTCCATTGAACAACTTATTCTCAGTGTAGGTATAGGGCATTGACTTCTCTTTCCAGACACCCATGTGCACAACAGTACAGGTTGATTTAGGAATCCCACTCTGAAGTTCCCATTGCTTTCCTCCATCCAACAATCCACACCCAAAACAACAGCCCAAATGCCCTGAAGAAGTCTCCCAAGGAGCTGTACTCCAGCAACTTGTGCACGACCTGGACTCTTCCTGCTTCTGCAGCAGCCCTGCAGCTCTCCACGACCGCCCTCTGCCAAACAGCCTTGCATCAAGCTGCCCTCCATGCACTTTCTACTTCTTGAGCTGGATCCAAACACCTCTGACTTTAACTGGAGCACACAGAGTGCCTGACAGAAATGTCATGGGCATAAAATGTAAAAGGTTAACTGCCAAGGAGAATGATGCGAACACACTGCATTCCCTTCAAGGAGGATAAGCTACTTATGATTAAATGTTCCCCAGTAAGGATTTTTCTTAATATTCCAAAGCACCCTTCTGACCCTCTGCCTTCTTTCAGTGAACTTTTGGTAGTCCCCAGAGAGTAAGAAACTGCGTCTGTATACCTCACCAATGGACAATGGTGTGGTGCGTCTTCAAAAAGTTCATGGAAAATACATATAATTGCTCTTTAAACATACATGCATTTCAAAAGACTTTTGCAGCAAAATAAACTTATCTTTTGATTCCATTTTTTCCATAAACTTTTTGAAGTACCCTCATATGTCGTGAGAAAAAACCAAGGAGTGGGCTCTTACGACAGCTATAGCAACATCCCCCATAACATAAGGAAAATCCCTCCACATATGGATTTGAGAAAATGCATTCTGCTCAATATAATATTAAGTAATAATCTACTTTGTTAACTCAAAAGGTAGCAGGCAAGATTCAATTTCAAAAGATAACTAAAGTATTGATATAAAAATATAAAGGTTAAATGTTTTTTATTGCTGGTAGTTGTTTTCCCAAGTGTGGCTCATCATTTTTTTCTATCCGAGTTTAGCTCCACATGTGTAGGCCAACTGTACCTTAATTAAACTAACATTTCATTAAACAGAGGTGATGGGACAGGCATTTGGCAGTGGTTAAGTTGCTGCTTTGGACACCCAGATCACATATTAGAGTCCCTGGGTTGGAATTCCAGCCCTGTGTCCTATTCCAATTAGCTTCCTGCTACTGCACAACCTAGGTGGCAGCAAGTGATGGCTCAAGTAGTTGGGTCCCTGTCACTCACATGGGAGACCCCTGAATTCCAGGCTCCTGGCTTCTGCCTGGCTCAGTCCCAGCTTTTATGAGCATTTTGGGAAGTCTCTCTGTCTCCATGACTTTCAAATAAACTAAATAAATGATTTTTAAAAACTCAGACAAGATATGCTATATGAAACTGTCATTTTCTAAATGTTTCTGCCTTCCTGCTCTGAGCCAACTAGCCATATCTAGTACCACACAGCAGGAAGGTACACAAGCTGTTCTCTTGTGACAACATAAGACAGAAAAGAAAGAAAAAAAGGAGAAAAAAGCTCCATCTTTTTTCTTATTAAATTTGCTGTTGCCTAGAAACACTTAAAAATTATTCTGAGGCAATTATGAGTCAAACTCATTCCAAGCATATTTCTCACTCTCCATATTTGACTAATTGCTTTACCAGATCTGTAATAGCTCATCTGTTGTTTTTAATTCCCCAGATAGCCTGATTATTTTTAATTCAGGAGCATCATTTATAACTTAACAAAAGAAGCTAAGTAAACCAAACTTCTTACAGAAAAGAAAACAATTCTACCCACTCAATTCCACCAAAACACACACACATAAGCCCCAGCACATATAATGAATACCTTTGAGTACAGAGCTTAGTAAATGAATGAGAAAAATGAATGATGATACATGGATGGGTGCATGGATGCATGGATGAATGAACTTTAAAATACTTCCACACTTTATGAAGACCAGTTGAAGAAGCCTAAACAATGACATGAGAATTAATGAACTGAAAAAGAAGGCCCTGAAATGGTTTTAAAACAATAAAGAATATATGCCTTACTATCTTTGAGTCAAGCTTACATGGTACCAGTGCCCTGGTTTTTGAAGCAATTGTTGATGGGGCATTTTAACATCTCACCATCACATTGTTCACCTTCTCTCCATTTATTGTTCCTTCATATTCCATTTTATTTCCTTGTTCCCTTATTCTAGCTTTATCTCTAACTTGTACCTCCCAACCTTTTGCATACGTTAGTACAAATGAGTATTAAATGGTTACTGACCCAGAATAAACATGCATGCAACCACCAAGAGAGGTTGAAAATAGATTAGGATATTTTCTGAGGGTTCTCCCCTTTTCCCACTTCAATTCAAAACTGCTAACCTTTACGGAGAACATCAGAAATGACAATTCTTTGAGGGATGTCTAAGTAGCTTCATTTTACACATAAGGACATTAAAGCACAAAAATCTATAAATTCTAGTAACAGTCATGCCATTAGTCACGCCTAGATCTTTCCAACTCTAGACCTTTTCCACCATTGCCTCACCCTGCTGATTCTTGATTCATTTCATCAAACATTATTGCAAATTTGCCTTACGTAAGTCTTCTGTCTTCTAGAGGACACTCCAGAATTATTAGCTTCTCAAAGCAAGTTTATTTTTGTGGTTACCTCTCTTTCAGATCATTAATTTTTTTCAAAGTGCTTTTACATTTCATTTAAATAATAATCAGTACCTTGAAACACAATTTAAGACCATTAGCAGAGATTAGATTTTTGGCTTTGTTGACGTGAGAAAAAAAACAACAAAGAGAATTAGCTGAGTAATGCAGAAAATGGGAGGGAAATTGCATTTAGTGATCTACCTTCCAAGTCTCAAACACAAACGAAAAATGTTCAAGAGCAAGAACTCACTGTATTTTTAAAAAAAAATTTGTATGTGTATACATAGGGCCCAAGTCATCTCCTTTCCCTTGGAGAGTTCCCCATGACTAATTTTACCAGCTCAAAAGACATCCACATGCATCCATTCTAATGTATGTTTTGTCTACCATAACGCAAATGTCACTTAGTCCACTTATACCATCTAAGGTCAACAGGTCCTTGTTGTTTATCCCATGTTATATTAGGGCTGGGATTCATATTTGTTGCTCTTCAAGTAATGCACATCTGTTCTTGGTACCAAATGTGAACAATTAGCAGTAAGAAGCAAAGTAAAAATGGAGTGGGTAGAAAAAAGAGTCGCTTCTCTACAATGTTGTTTGGGAATAGGTGTGAAGGGTTACAAGAAAAAGCACGGATTACTTCCGAATCGAGAAAGGCAAGGGCTGTCCACGTCGCTGAACATGCTTTGTTACTTCACTCTGGAGCTGCAAGCAGTTTGTTCACTAGAAACATTTTTCCACATTTTTTAAGAAATTACAAAGAAGCCGAATCATGGATAAGCACATCTGCAGTTAATGTGCAATGTCCTGGCAACAATAGTAGCTGAAAGCCACTTAGGAAACTCATGTGACACCTGAGTAGAGGTCAAACAGAATTCTTATTACAATTTTTTGGTTCTTGTCAAATGGTTAGGATGTTCTCTATGGACCCTAACTAAAAGCTATACACTAATTTCTATCCTGACAAAGCAGTTGAGAGACCCATAATTCACCAGTTCCTCACTCTACTCCAACCTCCAGGGTGAGTATTTATTTGCACTCATTTGAAAATTATAATTGCAACTTCTAACATGCAACATGACAGTGACTGATTCTTTAAAAACATGTTTAGTATTTTATTTTTCAGGGAAAAGAGACCCTCACTTTATGAAATATCATTCTGTTTAAAAGGGTCTGCTTTTGAAATAAATCCCTCTCTCTGACACAACCAGCCTACATGGCAGCTTCAAATTATGGTAATATAATCTGCCCATAAGACAATTATTAATATTTGCAGTTATATTAGAAGATGAGATTCATCCAAGCAAAAACTGCTCACATGTACTAATAAATTATTCATCTTTCTAAACATCTGCTCTGTTCCCAGTCTTCACAGTAGACTGACACTTGTTCCAACATCATTGTTATATTGGCTTTCTGCTTCTAGCTATCTTAAAGCTGTGGCATTGTGTTGCCTGTCCTACTCTTAAAATGCTCAGGATTAGAAGCACCAGCTCTGACTCAGAGCATACGTGGTGTTTGCTGTATGCCAAATGCCCTTTAATTCTCTGGCAAGCTTATTGCAGCATGTGATCATTTACACTGGTAGGTTAGACCTTCCTTATTGCGCATATGCTCTTTGACAATGACGGATT